ATCATGTAGTGCACTGGCAGTTGAAGTGTTAATGCTCCAGTTCCTGGTACCTGTCCGGAAGAGAAGAACTACGTACCCAGGGGGCTTTGTGATCAGAGAGGAGATATAACCCCTGGCAAGGTGGCAAGATAACCTGATGTGCTCTTCTTCATCAGGCTCTCCTTCCTGTTGCTCAGCTGGACTGTGCATCTCACCTCAGTGTTATGGTGAGGCCTACCCATCTTTTGGACACCCTCTCTGATTGTACTTGATTTATTAGCTTCAATTCTAATTATATTGTACTATAGTATGCTTATCTTGCATTCTGATACTTCACTTAGTAAATTAGTTTGTTTCTCCTCAGATCGTTGCCGCTGTTTTTAATTATTTTGGGGTCCCTTTTCCGGAGGCATGGATTTTGTGAAATCGCTCCATCCCACTAGTCACGGAAACGGGCTGAACCAGCCCATATAACTACCCTAGCTAACAGCTTTGGATCTAGCAATATTAACTAATTTGCATCAATGGTATGTGTTCTCAACCTGCTGCATAGAACCATGACACTCTCCACACAGATGTCACAAAGAAATGCAATTACTAATAAACAAACAAATAATAGCAACAAAATAGCTCTGGGATACCAACACCGTTTCTGCAGCCAACTAGCAAGGGAGAGGGAAGTTAAATTGTGCTATTTATTCTCAGACAATTGTTATCATGAGGTCCTCTAGGAGTAACTAAAAGACTTCTTTTTTGAATGTTTCTGTCAAGACTGAGTCAACAAAGCTAAACAGGACAGTAGAGAAATTTCAGTCCTGGAGACTAGGTACGCCTGCTGGAAAGGCGTGCTTTCAAAAAGACTACACAGCAATTATCTTATTAGTAGCATGCAACAGCACACAAAATTCCATGGGGGAAATTTTTACTGTATATATGTTCTCTGTCTGATAGAAAGCTCAAACACAGACAGCATTAATCACTTTTTAATTAACGTATGGGAAAAAACATCTATTTGTTTCAGGACAGAATATTCTGACACTTTGTATAGAAAATCCACAGCTACTCTGGAAAAAACAAACTTTCTGTAGCAGAGCACAGTTAAAGTAAAATAAAGCCTCCTTTACTCTAAAGTGATGGATGTTTTTTATTGATCCCAAGTTTACTAGGTGCACGTTAAATCTTTATATCAAAGACACATCCCTTAGACTTGGTTTAGAAAACTGGCAATGTGGAAAATACTAGCACAGGCTTTATAGACAGCTTAGTGTCTGCTTAAGATTAATAAACAAAAACCTTACAGTAGATTGTACATACTTATCTGAAATGCAACTACATGGTATAACGAGACATTATTTCAGACTGCACTTCAGCTGCCCTTACTAACTATTCCTCTTCTTCAAAGGGAAACACAGAGAAAGATTTTGAAACTTCAAACTTTCAAACATTTCACCAGCACTTTGAGGCCTCGAACGGATGCATTTTACTACTCCCTGTAAAACTCACAGCTCATTTTAACAAGATATACCAGACTTCAGCCTTTTTTATCATCCTATTCCAATTTGCATGGTAATGATAGTGCCCATTCCAAAGGCAGAGATGCTGTTTTATATCCAGTTTCCTGGTACGTCATTTGTGGCCTTCCAATGGATCCAAGAGCTTCTGATCAATTCTACTTACTTTCCAAGCATTTGTGAAGATGCAGTCATGCAAACTTCAGATCAGTGCTAAACCTGACAGCTGGCTGAGAGTTTTCAAAGAATTTTAATTGCTCTTTTGGAACTGCAACAGAACTTCTCATCTAGACCGTCTTGCCAGAATCTTTGAAGCACCAGTTTTCAGATGTGAAAGTCTGAGCCTTTTTTTTCTTCTCAGACAGTTTGTTTGTAAAACACAGCACATGCATTTACAATTTGGTTCCTCTTATTATCTGGAAACAGTTATTTTAAAACAGACAGCATACTGAATTTATCTTTTGTATTGTCCCCTATTGTGTCAGAATTACACAGCTTACGTAGCTGAATGTCAAAGACAAAACTAGAGCAGTGTGGAACAAGTATTGCTCATTGCCTGTGATTTCATAAATTTTCCCAAAATTGTCTGTCCTGACTAGAAACAGTCTAAATGACAGAAGAACTTAAGCTATGAAGAAGTAAGCAATAAAAAAAATAAAACTCTTATAGCTACTTTTCCACATTTTAGGAAGAAAATAATCTGCTTTTCTACGTTTCAAACACACATACGATTAAAGTGCTTCCAGATACTATGCCCTACACTAACAATTTTTTATTTACACTTATGTAAATATATAAATTTATATAGATACTCAAATCAAAAAAGGAACCCAACTCTGCATGAGTTAGGCATCCATATCATTTTTTAATAAAGACTTTATGAACCAAGGTTGTTCAAGTCAAAAGGAAACTGGAAAAGCTATGTAAACTGCTCAAAAGCAAAACTAATTTCCCAATGGTATATTTTGTTATGTATCATTGTACTTTTTCAATTTCCTGTATAGGGAGATTTTAGTTGAACTACAAATTATTGGACTCAGTAGGAGATAATCAGATTTCAGTTTGTCTTAAGCTGGAAGTCAGAGTAAGTGATTATCTTCTAGCTATGAACTGTAATTAAATGTAGTCAAGAAATCTAAGTCAAACAGAGATCTTTGAGGTTTTTATGTTTAAGTAAGTAAAAAAGTCAAGGTGTTCTTGTTAGTGGATACCACAAACATATTTCATTCTGAGATTTTCCTGGCACTTCTGTTTTGTCATTTGTACTCTTCCTCTACTTCCAATCAAGATACACAGAGAAATAAAATACATGGTAAAGACATACAGGAAGTTTTGTTTCACTGTTTCTGGTAGTAGGCTTTTTTCAATTTATTTATTTTTCCTACCAGCTTTAATTCCCATGTAAATGAACTTTTCAATTATGATACGATAAATCTATCACTGGTGTAATTACTCTTTATCCAGTATTACAGCTGTGAGTGGGTGGGTGACAGTTACAGCTTGTGTTTTCTTTGAAGATATTTCAGCATGACTGTAGGGGAAATCTGAGAAGGTATGTTAATATTTTTTACTTTCCTTCAGAGTAGGAAGATTTTATGTGCATCATGGCCTACCGCCCAATATCTCAGTTGGAGAAGCAAAGACTGCATAGATTGCACATTCATTACATTCAAATGCAGTAGACATCCTGACATTTAGCTTCCATGCCAAACAAACAAAAAAAAAGTAGAAATACTTATCCGAAAAACTCACAGCTTTAAATTAGGGCATTAGATCTGTTCCCCAGATTCATACAACTTTCAGTAATAAAAAATACTTTGCATTCACAGAAAACACTCTATTTTGTAATATACTGAAAAATACTTTTTCCAAGACTTTTCTTCAGATTTTTACCCCAAACCAGGTCCAGCTGTCATAATCTGGTGAAGGAATAAAAAACACTTTAAAAGTGAAGCCCACACAGTACTGCCTTTAAGGGCTTACCTCTGTTCTCCTTCAAGCTATCTGAAATACCCTGGTTTAACTCACAAGTTACTTCTGAGGTATGTGCAAAACCCAAGTTTTGATTGGAGACACCTCAGATTGCTAAGAAGTATTATTCTTGAAAATCACATATTTCTTCACTTTCATTCACACTGAATAAATCATAGTGTGTGAAGTAAAATACACATGGCTTTTTAATTTTGATGGAGACAGACATCTGTCTATTCTATTGAGAAGTAAGGGGGTTATTCCCAAAGCACAGATTATGCCTTATCAATTTCTTGACTTTTTACCTTTTTCTTCACATTGGAGGTTGACAGAACCTAGACAAAAGAGCTTCACTGAACCATGGTTTGGAAGAACAGAACCTTATGGGACTGTTAACTGTTTCTCAGCATCAACCAGAGCAGTTTGACTGCTGCATTACTGACTTTATTGTTTCAGAATATGTAAACAATATTTTAAATAGGTAGTCTGGCAGGATTCTGGGCAGGATTTTCATGCTTTATTGTGAAATGTAAAGAGACAAGACACTTTCAGATGATGTGTAAGTATCAGCACCTCCTCCACCAGGAAATACTGGAAAGCTGGAAATACAAATTCATTAATCTTTTTATGAGAGTTCAGATCAATCATATTCCTTTTTTCTTTTTTCTTCTTTTTTTTTTGTCTTCCAGTAGGACAAAATCTTTTTTTTTTCACTGGGACTCTGAAGCAATTAAAAAAATTCTGCTTTCTATTCTTCTGCACAAAAGCTTTGACCAGGGGAGTCTCAAAGCCTGAGACTTCAGTTTGTTACCATTCCACTTCTCACATATTTCCAAAGTAAAAGACTATCTGTAGCTCTCAATTGTACTACTAGAGAAAAAACAGTTAGAAGAACCTCATATTTGTAGAACAGGAAACGAGAAGACAGCAGGGCAATACTTTCTCTAATTAACAATATTTTGTAAAACCAAAGTGAATTTGTTAAGGATGGGATGGGACTGTGCTTACAGAAGCAGAACAGGATATACCTTTTAGCTAGTGCCTCCTGTAAAATAATTCATGAGTACATACTAAATCTTTCAAAATTTCAAGACATTTTAAAAATAATTCTGCTGAGTAATTTTAGCCCAGTATCCAAACTCTTCAAATTCAATAACTGAATGTGGGATTTCCTTACTTTTTATTACAGAAACACACTGTCCCAGTAAAACAGCAGGTTCAGTGAAAAGGAAAAGTACAAAGCTCAAAAATGACATATGTCTTCATGAAGAATTTCCACCACTGGAGTGCACTTCAAGACAAGAACTCAGGACCATAATTAGACAAGTATCATGACAACATTCAAGAAGAAAGAAACTCCACCTAGAAATGTTTAGGATACCTTACACTTCAAGAGAAGACAGTGTGATTGAATAAAATATCATTATTTTAAAAAGGAAAATTATTTTGTAGAAACATTTTAAAGATTCAGACTTGAGGCTCAGTAAGAATAGTGTCTTTGGAAAGGCAAAACCTTGTAGTCAAGAAAAATGTCCACAATTTTTATTTATCAGAATATATTTTATTGCCAACGAGTACAAAATTGATGCTGTCATCCCCTGAAGTCTCACTTTAAAGATAAAGCTTCTCCTTCACCACTTTTAAAGACTTGTAAATATAGTAATTAGTAATGAAGAAAAAAAAAGCAACAAAAAGAAAAATTGCAACAATAAATTAAAAGAAAGAAAAGGCAAGGAGGAGAGAGGCAGACAACTTTTTGAGGAGGAAATGTGTTAGAAGAAACAAAATAGTTCTGAAGTGGAATCAAAATATAATAGTATATTTTTCTTCCAAGAGAAGTTTGGATTTTTTGCATGTGAAATAAAATAGCAGCAAAGAAAAAGGATAAATACAAGTGCATGAATGTCCCACTGGAACTCGCTTTTATTAACCAAAACAGTAGTACTCATCTGAATCAATTTTGGGATGCTTATGTGAGTCTTCCATAATAGAGGAATCACTGAACTGGTCTACATCAGGAGGTGTTTGGTGACCAGGAACATCATCAACTAAAGTGTCCAAGTAGCTTCCCACTGATATTCCATCCAGACCATCACTACAGTCCTGTAAACTGCTACAGCTGCCATGGAAGGATGTGTCCTGACTTTCCAATAAGCTGCACAGGCTGCCACTCAAACTGCTCCCTCTGCTGGCAATGCCTTTCTCTTCAATCATCCACTTGATTGATTCAATACTTTCATTGATGATGAGTAGTTGTCGCATAAGTTTCACATCAGTGGCACGGAGATTAATCTACAAAGCAAAAGTAATAAAAAAGATTACTGATTTTCTCTAAAATCGAACTCCAAACAACAAGCTGGAGGCAATAGATGGATTAAAATCTCACATTTGACATCTATTTAAATACTCAGTTTAAAAAAAAAAAAAAAAAAAAAAAAAGTATTTCTACACTTTCATAGAATCATAAAATCTCCAAAACTGGAAGAAACTCACAAAGATGAGTTCAACTTGTTGCTCCACATAGGATCATGTAAAAATCAATTTTTCTGAGAGAGTTGTCTGCAAGTTTCTTGAACTCTGAAAAATTTGGTGCCATGACCATTGCCCTGGGGAACCTATTCCAGTGTCCCACCACCTAATACTCAATCTGACTCTCCCTTTCAGTGAAGTTCAAGAGGGAATCTGATCAGACTATGTAAACAGTCCATTAATAGGAATGGTAATCAACAAGACTTGTACACATGCTACTATAATATTATTATTGGATGAAAAATATTTACTATGACAATTTCTGGGGATAACTTCTATTATTCAGAAAAGTGTAACATAAATCTGTGTCCATTTAAAACTACTTTCAGCAACTGAGCAGATATAAGTAGCTAGGCATTTACCTCAGGTCCTTCTTGTTAAGCCTACTAGGGTAATCTAAAATTTTCAGATGTGAGTTATTTGGAAAAAGGTTTATGAATCCTTAACATTTATTCCTGCTGCACCATTGCTCATGTTGCAAGCTGCAGAACAAATTCCTGAGAGTAGAAACAGATGCGCTTGTTAAAACTGTAAAATTCAAATTATTTAATCTCATATTTGATGAAAGTTATTAGTCCACAAAGTCTGCAAGCGTGGCAATTTGTGCAAAATAACTAATTAAAATACACACTGAGTCCTACTTCACAGCTTAATTGTCGTGGTTGATGCATACAAATAGAAGTGTAATAGGTAAAGGATTAATGGTAATTCCTAATGCCTATATCATGTTAATGGTAAACGCATATTACAGTGCTGCATTTCTCAGATATAATAAATAAACAACCTTTATGCTTCTCTTATTAGACAAATTTAACAAACCACTTTTACTGAAATTTCCACAATGAGATGACACACAAAATTGAGGCCTTAGTGTTTAATTAATAATTGATCTCTTCTTTGTTATCTGAAATAACCAGTGTTTGCAAAAGGTTTCTCTGGAATCTCCTATTCATCTCATGAAACAAGTGATAACACTGAAAAGGTAATCTAATAAACTGAAGATAATTCAGGTTTTGCCCATGTGGTCAAGTGTGGAAAGCCACAGGGTACTGCCATTCCTGGTGTGATCTGTGGAACAACTGCCCAGTCATACAAGGGAGTCTCAGCTAAATCCTCATAAGAAAACAGTGTTAGTCTGCAACCTTGCCAGTGCTGCTGCCCTTTGCAATAGCAGCTCAGAACTACTACTAAATGTCTGATGTATCAATAGAACCAAATTCTCAGTGAGATCTGGGCCTAGATAAACTTTTGCCACAGTGTCAACATAGGGCATACTTGTTTAAAACCACTGGAAAAAGACTTGATGAATACATGGGACATCATGTCCAGCATGTAATTTGTGTCATATTTCATCATGTTCTTTAATTGTACTGATAAAGCACACTACATGCTTGACACATCAACAATTTAAGACATGCACTGGGTATACTTCTCTACATAAATCTGTGCCACAATCTCTAACACATTAACATGCACTAAATACTTCTCTTACATAGATCAATAACATCTTAGCTTTCCAACAACTCAAAAGACAAAACAGTATGTTGAAAATTTCATCAATAGTACGATCTCCTATGCCAGACAATAGGCACTTTACGATATTCTCCAATTATTACATAGAAGTCAAGCATTTGTATTGTTCGTACACAATTGACTGGAATCGAATCAGAAATTCGATTTCTTCTCAGGAAGAAATGGCACTGTCATTTTTCTGCCAAGAGTAAAATTTGGATGTGTTTTTTTACATACTCAAATGCCAGCTCTTCTCAATATCCCAAATTACACTGACACGATATGGTTTTCAAAAAAATATTAATGCATTTTTACTCCGTTAGACACAACAGAAGATTGCACAGGCTCTGGTTGGGATGCTTCAGAGTGCAGATACTGTATTTTAGCTCAGTGAACAAAACACAGAGTACCAATGTTTTAGCTATTGCTGAACAGTCCTTTTGCAGTGTCAAGACCTGCTTTATTTCTCACTGTCAAACAGGCTGGAGATGGAAAAGAGGTTTGGAGGGGACAGTTGGAACACTAACCAGAAATAACCAAAGGGATATTCCAGGCCATATGGCTGCGCTCAGCAATAGAAGACTGGTTTGGTTTTCCCAATAGCTACTGCTTGAAAACTCTGTGCATCCATTTGCTAGCAGGAGATAATGAGTGATTACCTTCAAGCTTTGCTAGTACCAGACTGTCTGTATAATTTTCAGATGTGTTCCTGGTCGTCTCATCCAGTCCCTAAAAAGACTTCTGTAGTAGCCTCACTCCAGTACCACAGAATTTAACATGCAAAATAGCTTTATCACTTACTGTTTTAACAATAATGTTCATCTATCACTGTTTCAGATGTGAGGTTTTGAAAAGAGATTGACCATTTTGTATCTCTCATTTTTAAGTCAGTTCTTCTACTCCTACCCATAAATCACTATAAATCATTTGTTCAGCAACAACGCTGTTGTGACAGCAGCAAATTACCCAGCTTCCCAATTGCAACTGTAGACTTCAGTAATTTTGTTGTATATAAGCATGTATGGAGACCACAATTTCCCAAAAGGATGATTAAAATGAAATTTAATGGAGCTAACAGTAATACATCACCAGTGAAACAACTACTTTTAGGTACGATGGACATCTCATAAGTTTCAGATTCAGTTGGCTTGATTCCTTCCTCCAAACTGACACTTAGTCCCAAGTCTCCTATACCAAGAGTGTACTTTTCCTAAAGCAAACACTAAAAAAAAGTCTGCAAGTGTCATCTTTCTTTAACAATGTTTTTCTCATCTATGACTTTTATTGCCTTCTGCTTTAGCCCAGGAATAATTACATAAGTTGGTGCCCAAATACACAGCTGCAACTTACTTGTCTGTTAGAGTTAACGAGTATGTTCCAAAAGGGGTCAATCAGAGGGTCTAAAAACAACACAATCTCATTACATTTGACAGCTTCATTTGTTATGCACAGTAACAGGTGCACTTCAGAAATAATCTGAATGGACTGAATCATAGTTAATATAGGTATTCCAGAATAGTTTCCACAGAGTTTAAGGTAGAGTACAGCACCACTACAGGGAAGGTGCATATCTTAGCATACAGCAATAAGGATACTTTGATAAGACAGAGAAAATCAAATTCTGGTTACAGGCTTGCATATGTATCCTGTTGGATAGTTTGGATAATTTCAATATACATATCTTAAATGTATAACATTGAATGGGTAGTCAGGGCAAGAAAAAAGACTGAAAATGAAAATGACCACAACGACCTTTTGGTTAACACGGTCTGGTAGCATAGACTGATTAGTACATAACAGATTAACATTCAGACACTATCAGACCTTCAGTGTGGAAGGGATATCTGGCCTGAACCACCTGTATATGTTTCATACAATTCTCCTCCACTGGTTGTTCTAATAAGAGACTGCTTCCTTTACACACATAGCCCTGCTTATGGTCCTCCATAATCAGAGGTGCAATACTGTCAGCACGTCACACATATGACTCCATTACACAGATAATTTATTTATATATGCATATATATATATCTACAAACACACATGTGTGTGCACATACACATCTGTGTACACTCACACAGAAACATATAACACAGACATATACAAGTATTTCCATTATTTCTATGTGTACAGTGCTTTTCAGAAAGGATGTGAGTAGGTTATCGATTTTAGTAAAAACTCATGATTAGGGCTGTTAACAAGAACTATTAACATCTCTTGGCAACTCCCCAGAAGAACACATTAGCTGTCCTAGTTTAGTCATTTTACCTTTGAATCAAAGTTGCACTTGCAACTTGGCAAAATGGATTTGTGTTTTCCAGCCATGTGTTCTGAAGGCACGGTTTCCAGTCAGCTCCACATACCATGAGTCTCCCTCACCTCCAAACCAAGAAAGCTAAAAAAATTCAACACAATGTGTCCTTTTAATCTCTCAAACCTCACTAGTTCACTTCCTTAGTTCGCTCTCTTTTAGATTCCTGGATTCATGCGCTTCTTTTTCTTCTTCTAACTACAGGAATTCTGCAGTGATACTAACAACAATTATAAATAGTGGTCTGAGGAAAAGATATTCCTAAGTTTATTTAAAAGATATTCCTTTCATTTATTTTTTTTTTTACTCAACGCCTTTATGCTGTGTGTTGCAATGAGTCCATCAATAAAGAGAAAGAAAATGAGCATGCTGATATAACCAAGTATTTCTGTCAGGACCGATCATTTAGAGCAACAGGCAATAAGTCACGGTAAGACAAGGAGTTGTAAACCTACAGTCTAATGGATTCAAGGAGTTAAGTCATCTAGCTCAGATACCAAGTTCTGCACAGGATCCTTTGTAGGACTCAAACACCAATCAAGGACTGGACAGCATGGAATTCATATTTTTGAAGCAGTATAATTTTGGACAGGTATCACACAGTAAAGTGGAACTGCATGAGAGCAGTCACTGCAGGCAGCTTGGTGGCCCAGAGCATGAGCAGACTTGTAGAAAGAATTAACACAATAGAAGGTAATTCTACCTGTTGTTAATATTGACACATCCATCTGTATTGCAATTTTTACAAACAGAATTTAAACTAAGAGAGTCTTTCCATGCTTTCCAAAGGCCTTTATGACACCACAGTTCAAGAGTATTAGTGTTATTGCTACCTGACTTTCTGAGGGTATGCCACGGACAGCTTTCTGCTTTCCTATTCACTTTCCTGTGTCATTCAGGATAGTTTTAGTTACCCACCTATGCCTATAACTCCTTTCTT